CCCCTACCCCCACCTCCGCTGCCCCTCCCCACCACCCAGCCCATGTCCCTCACCCCACCGCCGCGTCCCCCTCCCCACCCAGCAAAGCGACCCCCTCCCCACCACCGCTCCATGCCCCCCTCCCCACCCTGCTCCATGCCCCCTCCCCCCACCCACCGCGCCATGACCTCCCCGCCTGCTCATGTCCCCCGCCGCTACAGCACCACAGCGCCCCTCCACCTGCTGCCAGCCCCCCCGCCGCCTGCTCCATGTCCCCCTCCCCACCTGCTCATGACCCGCCGCCTCCAGCACTTCGCCCCACACCACGCCACAGCCTACCCAAACCCAATACCTACGACACTTACCTGGAATAAAGTACCACAGGCGCCCAGGCCAGCATCTCTCAATCCCTCACCACGGAGCAAACAGAACCAGGGCCACCCATGCTTCTCCTGTTCCATAACCTTCTGGCTCCCATGGCCCACAGGTTCCAGGCCCAGGCCCTCCCCAGCCACACACCACATCGGTCCAGTTCTCCCTCAAGCCCACTTTCGCGACCCAAACCCCACCCTAGCCCAGCCCTTTACAGCCAGGGCAGGAGCGGGATCGTAGGCCAGCTCTCCCACTTGCTACCGACCACTTGGTCTTTACTGGCTGACAGCTGCAGCCCTGTGCCGGCATACTTGCGCGAAGATGGCATTGGAAACACAGCCCATGCCAGGAAGCCAAGGGAGCCCTTATTCCCTCCCTTAGGCTTCCCCAAGGGGAGCTAGTTAGATATTCGACCGGGCGCGGTGGCTACGCCTATATGCTGCACAGGGAGGCCCAGGGCGAGGCGGATACGGGTCAGAGGTACAGGGCTCAACTCAGCTAACATGGTGAAGCCATTCTGCCAAAAATGCAAAGCAGCCCAGCCAGGCGTGGCGGCGGGCGCCTATGAGTCCCAGCTACTCAGGAGGCCCAGAGGCAGGGAGAATGGCGTGAACCCGGGAGGCTGAGCCTGCAGTAGCCGAGATCGCGCCACTGCACTGTGGGCTGACAGAGCGAGGCCTTCCACGTCTCAAAAAAAAAAAAAAGAATACGGAGTACAGCCAGGCGCGGTGTGGCTCGCCACCCTGAATCCCAGCACTTTTTGGGAGGCCCAGGCGGGAGGATGTCCACTGCAGGTCGGGGTTTTGGAGACCAACCTGACCAACATGGGTGAAAACCCATCTCTAATAAAAATACAAAAATAAGCCAGGTGTGCTGCTGCGTACAATCCCATCTACTAGGGAGGCTGAGGAAGGAGAGATCGCTTGAACCAGGAGGTGGAGGTTGCAGTGAGAGCCAAAGATGGTGCCACACCCATGAGCCTGGGCAACCTGTTAGAGACTATCTAAAAAAAAAAAAAAAAAAAAGCAGATTCCCAGGACCTCAAGGCTATTGGAGGCCGGAAGATAGAGTATTAGACAAACCACAGGCGGCTCTGAAGTCTGAGATGCGCAGCCAGGCCAGGCCCGTGCTGGTGCCCGGTAGGACAGGGCTGTGTGCAACACAGAAGGGCCACAGGTGCAGGGAGGCCGATGCACTTGGACCCCCACCCAAGCTCGCCTCCCAGGTGAGCGGACCCAAGTGCGTGGCCGCCCCTCTATGCGGGTCCCCCTTGAGAGTACCAGCTGAGACCAGAGCGGTGGGGGGTAAATGAGGAGGAGAATGATGATGAGGAGAGTGCTCGAAATGAGAGGGAATGGTAGAAGTGAGGAGGAAATGAATGAGGGAGGGGAGAGTAAAGTGAGGGAGGAAATAGGTGAGAGAATAGGCTGAGAGGGAGAAATGAGGGAGAGAGGCAAATGAGAAGGAAAGAGCAAACAAGGGAGAAAAGCAAATGTGAGAGGAAAGAAATAGTGACGGAGGAAGGAATGAGCTGATGAGGAAGAATAGAGTAGTGAGGGGAAAGAGAGAACAAAGTGAGAAGCAGGGGAGCCAGGTGAGGGAGAGGAATGAATAAATGAGTGAGTGATGGAATGAATGAGGAGGAGGGAGAATGAGGAGGAGAATGAATGACGGGGGAAGGAATGAATAGAGTGGGGAAATAGGTGAGTGAGGAGGGAATGGGTAAGAAGGGAGGGAATGAATGAGGAGGGAATGAGTGAGGGAAGGAATGAATGAGCCAAGTGAGGAAAAGAGGCAGAGTGAGGGGAGGGGAATGAGTGAGAATGAGTGAGGGAGGGGAGGGGAATGAGGGAGGAGGGGAATGAGTGAGGAGGGAGTGAATGAGTGGGGAGGGGAGGGGAATGAGTGAGGGAGGGAGTGGAGTAGGTGAAGGAGGGAGGGGGTAGTGAGGGAGAATAGGGAGGGGAGAATAGGGAGGAGAATAAGTGAGAGAGGAAGAGTGAGTGAATGAGGAGAAACTGGTGACAGAGGGGAAGGAATGTGAATGAAAGGTGAGGGAAGAGGAATGAGTGAGGGGGAAGAGGCTGAGTGAGGGCGAGAATGAGTGAGGGGAAGGGAAGAATGAGCTAAATGAGTGAGCAATGGAATGAGCTGAGGGAGAGAGGGAGCCAGAGGGAGGGAGGCAGGCGAGCGAGGGGAAAGAGAGGCAAATAAGTGAGGGAGGGGAGCCAGGTGGCGGGGAGGCCAGGCTGGGGGGAGGAGGAGGTGGGTGAGGAGGGGAGCCAGGCTGAGGAGGAGGCCAGAGTGAGGGGAGGGAAGGAATGAATGAGCAAGGAAAGGAAGGCAAGTGAAAAGGGGAGGAAATGAAGTGAGGAGGGAATGAGTGAAAGGAGGGGAGGGAATACTTAGCGAGTGAGGAGGGAGCCAGAGTGAAAGGAGGAGGAAATGAAGTGAGGAGGGAATGAGTGAGGGAGGGAATGAGTAGTGAGGAGAGGTGAGGGAGGGAGGAGAGATTAGGTGAAGAGAAGGGAGGGGAAATGGCCGGGCGCGGTGGCTCACGCCTGTAATCCCAGCACTTTGGGAGGCCGAGGCGGGGCGGATCACGAGGTCAGGAGATCGAGACTCATCCCCAGCTAACACGGTGAAACCAAGTCTCTACTAAAAGTACAAATTGCTTGGGGCGAGGTGGCGGGGCGCCATAGTCCCGGCTACCAGGAGGCAAGGCTGGGAGAAATGGCGTGGGCTCAGGAGGCGGAGCTGCGGCGACGAGATAAGCCCGCCGCTCCAGCCTGGGCGACGACAGACCGTGCCAAAAAAAAAAAAAAAAAAAAAAAAAAGAAGGGAGAAGCTGGGTGAGGGAGGCCAGGTGGGGGAGGCCAGGAGGAGGGGGGCTGGGGGAGGAGGCAGGGAGGAGAATGAGCCAGGTAGGAGGCAGGGAGGTGGGCTGGGTGAGGGAGGCTAGGTAGGAAGGAGCGAATGAATGAGGAGGAAATAGGTAAGGGGAGGAATAATGAGGAGAATAGTGAGGAGGCCAGGCCCAAGGTGATGGAGGAATGAGGGAGGGGGAGGGGGAGCCAAGGCCAGGTGAGGAGAATAGTAAGGAAGAGAGGAGCGAATGAGCCAGGGAGGAAGCCAGAGTGAGGAAGAATAGAAATGAGTGATAGAGGGAATGAGGGAGGGTAGAGTGTGAAGGAGGCCAGGTAGGGGAGAGAGAAAGGGAATGAGCTGACGGGTAAAGGGAGGGAATGAGTGCGAGGGGAATGGGTGAGGCGGGAATGAATGAGGTGGGAATAGTGAGGAGGGAAGAATGATTGGTGAAATTGAAGGTTGAATAGATGAGTCCAGGCAGAATGAGTGAGAGGGAATGGGTGAGGTGGGAGAATGAGGAGTAAGGGAGGGAATGAGTGGGAGAGGGAATGAGCTGGGGGTGGGAATGAGCAGGGGTGGGAATGACTGAGGAGGAAGGGAATGAGGTCAGGTGATAGGAGGTTGAGCCAAGGCAGGTCAGGCAGGGGGTAAGGGGCTAGGTGAGGTGGAGGTGGGCCGAATGGTGGGAATGAATGAGCCAGGTAGGGAGGCTGAATGAATGAGGGAGGGGAGAATGGGTGAATGTGGTCACTCCCCTGCGGTCCCCTAAGCTTGCCAGACCTGTGACGCAGCCCCGCCGTCAAGCGAAAGCAGGGGGGCGGGGGGACCGGGAAACCCAGGCCAGCGCGACCGCGCGTTGGCGAGCAGGTGTCCCGCTTTGCTTCGCGGGGCCCCAGGGCTTCGACCCATTAGCGGGGAATTTGCGTGAGCGGGGGGGTGCCCGGAAGCGCCCCTACCAGGGGGCTCGCCCTTACGCCCTTCATGATCCCGCCGCCCCGCCCAGGGTCCCTTGGTTGAGGAGCATCACCTGCTTCCCGTGGTCGCCCCCTTCACCAGCTGGCCTTTTTGTGCGAGGGTCAGCTCATTGGGCAGATGAGAAGGTCTCTCCCGCCCTGCGCCCGGAAGCGTATTGCAAGAGGTTTCCCTGGGGCCTTGAACTTCGCAGGGCGTCCTCGTCCCTGCAGACCTTTGGGGATCGCCCAGGCCTCAGTGGTGCTTTTGCCCCCGGCCCCCAGGCTGGCAAGGAAACCCTAGGACCAGCGCTGGAGAGAGGCCCAGCCGCCGAGGCATCGTGGAGCTTTTTGGAGATCTCGGCCTGCTACATCCCCGCTGCTCGCCATGGCGTGTCCTCAGGTGGACATGGGCACCCCGAGGGGAGTTTACAGGCCTTTCCCTGCATCGAGACACTGGCTCACTAGGCAGCCAGGTGTCCCAGGCCTCACTTGGCTGAAAGTCACTCCCGGCCCCCAGGCTAGGACGGACCCGAGGCGCGGAGCCTTGCCAGCGAAGCAGAAACACAGGCAACCCAGGGAGCCTTATGGCAATATGGGAAGGCGCTTCGGGGCCAGGCAGCGGTGGCAGCGCGCGAGGCCAGGCGTGCGAGGGCAGCCCCACGCAGGCCCTACGCCCGCGCGCCCCGCCCGCGCCAGGGTCTCAGGCTGCCGAGCTGCGCGCGGGCGACTTCCGGAGAAGTCGGGGCAAAGAGCGCCGCCGCCGCCGCCGGCGGTGCCACCCAGCCACTGACCTTCGCCAGGCCCGCAGCCGCCCGAGGCGAGCGCGAGGCCCTCGGAGCTGCTCGGGCTGCGCGCGGAGCGGGCTCCGGAGGGAAGTCCCGAGACAAAGGGAAGCGCCGCCGCCGCCGCCCCGCTCGGTCTTCCACCTGTCCGCGACGCTCGCCGGGGCCGCGGCCGCCCGGGGTGAGCGCGGGCGGGGGCCGGGCCGGGGCCGCGGGGCGGGGGTCGGGCCGAGGCCTCTACTCCTGTCGGGCCCGGGCCCCCGGCTGCCCCGCGCCCCGCCCCGCCGAGCCGGGCCCCGCGCCGCGGCCGAGCTTCCCGGGGAGCCCGAGAGGCCCCACGCTCGGCGCCGGCTCGGTCCGCGCTGCTGGCGCCGCGGGACTGCGGCCTGAGCGCCCCGGCCGCCGCAGGCCTTGGGGGCCGGGGCTCCCCCACTTCGCCCCCGAGGTGCTCCTGGCGCGGGGCCGGGGCAGCCACCTGCAGCCGGGGCCCCGCGAGGCCGCGCCTTCCTCCTGCGCGGGGAGCGGCTTCCGGGGTCACTGTCGCCCCGCGGACGGAGGGGATGGGCCGCGGGGGAGAGTCTTGGATTGCAACATCGCTGGCTCGCGGGGGTGGGGGCCGGCGAGCGGGCTTGTTTTCGGTGCCTTAAAACCAAAACAAGTCTAAGTTTTCCTGCGCCTCTGAAGATGCTGCCCTGGCGCTTGCTGGGGCCCTGAACGTGAGAGCCTCGCTGGAGGGAGTTTTATTGTTTTGGGGATGGGTTTTTACCGGTCGAATAGTGGTTGGCTCTGGTAGTTAACGTGCGTGGGAGGAAGGTAAGGGAGTGATTAGCTGGGCTTGTGATCGTGGCCTGTAGTAACGCTTGAATCGCAGAATGAAGTGGTTTCGTTTATATAATTGGAAGTTACGCTTAGTTTCTCTGTTTGCAAAGGGCCTGTCTTTGGGGAGTTCGGTTTGTTTCCTCTTATAGGACCTACCCCCACTGTTTCTTGAAGAACAAGAAACATTGCTTTTGGGTAGAGAAGCTGTGCAGCGGAAGACAGGACGGATCCTAAGTTTGTCGTGATTGCTCCTTCAGAGGTCCCTTCCCTAGACCACTGGGTGGTTGCAGGTGTGCGCTTGTGTGGTGTGTCAGGGTTTGGGATCTTGCTTCAGAAACATCCTGGGGGCCTGGGGCAGATCAGGTGCGGCCAGATGAGCGTCTCCTGACTGCAGGTGCTTGGGTCTTGCAGAAGGGAATACCTCCCCAAGCCTGGGAGAGTTTGCGTTTGGGTGCAGGAGGACCTTTACAGGCTTCTTGTGCCAGCCGTCGTGGCGACCACCCGTTGTAGAGATGAGTGCGGTGGAGTTGTGGGAGGTGAGTGCTTTGCTCACCCTCAGCCAGGAAGTTGCTCGGAAGTCGGTGCTGTCAACCAGCAGAGTAAGGTGGTGATCCGAGAAGCTAAAGCTCAGCCGGTGGCGGGGGGCCCAGCAGGACAGAAGGCAGACCTTCGGGCCGCTCTTGGAGTGCTTGGCCCTGTCCCGGTTGCTGCAGTGTCTGGGCCCTGCTTGGCTCTGATAGATGAGGGTTGTTTTTGTCTTTGCGTCATAAAAGTTCCCTGCTCTGAAGGGTCTAGTAACTGCTGGCCATTCTCTTAGTGCTTATCTGTTAATTTGGAAGGGCAAATTCCGATTTTCAGCGGGATTTTGAATGCTTGGTCTGTGCTGTGATTACATTGTAACAGATTGGCCACTTTCTCCAGGAGGCCAGTGGGAGGGGGAGCAGGGGGAGGGGCCTGGCTTCTGCCTAGGACAGAGTGGGTGTGCACCTGTGGCTCCTTGACCTGTGGTGAAGTTTCCTGTGAGACCACCCCGTGGTGCTCAGTGCTTTGGGGCAGAGAATACAGCAGCATCAGCCAGACCTTGGCGGGAGGTCTCACAGGAGCACCCTCACGACTTCTCACATCTGAGACAACAATAGCCAGGTGCTGGGACGGGGCCCTCTAGGCAGCTCTGTCCGGTCCTCAGCAGGAGGGCTGCCTGTGGCAGGGTCCTAGGCCTGGCTGGCCTCTCTGTGGCCTGGCCTTGCCTGGCTGTGAGGACCGTGTTGCCCATGGTCCTTCAGTGTCTGAGCACTGGCCTGGGTTTCAGCAACCTGCTTGATTCCTGGCCCCGCTCTGACCCCGGGCACCTGGGAGGTCGTGGCTCCTCAAAATGGCCGTTCACCAGGCTGCTTTGCACTGCACCAGGCACAGGCTGTGGCCACTCATGAAGCCCACCCTGGGGCTGGGGAAGCGAGAGCTGTGAGTCCTCAAGCCACAGCTGGGCTGTTCCATGTAGAAGTGGAGGGTGGAGACACGTGCAGAGAGAGCCTTGAAACCGTGGTTGGCGGGAGCTCCACTCCACCCTGGGCTCGAAGCCTGCCTGCCCAGTGCTGAGCGCAGCTGTGTCCCCCACTGTCTCCCTTTCTGGCCCCTGGCTTCCCCCCACCCCCACTTAGAGAAGGGCATGGGGCCGGGCAAATTGTCCAGAGGGCAGGCGGCCTGCGGGCTCCTCTGCATCCCCATGAGGAGGGCATGGGGAGGGACATCCCAGTGGGGCGCAGTCTGGGGCTACCTGTCTTGGACTTAGTCATGTAGCTGGAGGCCAGTGCCCGGATGGCCCCTGTCACCCTCTCGCTGTGATGCCAGCACCTACTGACTGGAGGACCCAGGTTCCTTTGCCTGATTTTTCTCAGGCTGCCCTGAGGATCCATGTTTGGTAAAAAGGAGCCAAATCCACCTGCAGGGCAGGCGGCTCTAGCAGCCCCGCCTGGCTTCCAGCACCCTGGTTCCCTGGCGACACTGAACCCGCCTGGGGTTCCTTGATCCCAGTCCCACCCCTGATTTCTGCTTTGCTGCCTCGGGAAGTCATTGTGCCGCCCAAAACCTGAATGTGGGCCTCTCGGAGCTCCTTCCTCAATGAGTCTGCTGGGGACTGGGCCTTGCCTCCCTAACTAGTGCCAGGTGAGGCTGCGGCGGCTCCGCCCAGGTGGAGCTGCTGACCTGGCCCCTTCCTGCAGCTGTGAGGTGTGTGAGGTTTGTGGGCCTGCACAGGTGCGGGCGCCATCCAGGTCACCAGAGCCCTCGTAGGGACGGCTCCTCACGGTTTGGAAGGCCTGGCGCAGCCCCCCAGCTTTGTCGAGGGGGCCCTTGTTTGGCGTTGAGATACCAAACTTGGAGGCAGCTTCAGTGCTCCCATGGGCTTTGAAAACCAGCACACACTTGGGTTTGAATTCTCTGGCAGGTTTTGTGCCCTGAGTGCTGTTTTTCATGGTAAAGGTGACCACCAGTAGGGTGACAGGTGAGGGTGGTGTCGAGGCTGCTGGCCCTGTCTGCCTGGTGTCCCCGGGGACAGTGCGGGCCGACAGGCTCCCGCTGGGAACCAGAAGGCGAAGGTGCCAAGCCCCTGAGGTCCCGTGCAGAAGTGTGGAGCTGGAATCTGGCGTGTGTGCCACTGCCTCTGACCAGGGACCTGGTCCTGTACCCCATGCTCCTGCCCTGCCCCACAGGACCCGTCTGTCCCCTGAAGCTACAGGGACATACTAGCGGCTGCAGAGTCCGGGAAGGGTGGCCCTGTGGGGGGCTCCTCTTTCAGCGAGGCTGAGCCTCTGCCCTGTGGTACTTGTTCCAATCTGTCTTCAACATGGTGAAACTCTATCTCTACTAAAAATACAAAAATTAGCCAGGCATGGTGGCGGGCGCCTGTAGTCCCAGGTACCCGGGAGGCTGAGGCAGGAGAATTGCTTGAACTCAAGAAACGGAGGTTGCAATGAGCCAAGATAGTCCCACTGCACTCCAGCCTGAGGTACAGAGTGAGGCTCCATCTCAAAAAAAAAAAAAAAAACAATATTAGGTGTCCCCCTGGCCCGGCTTGAATCTCAGTTCTGAGCGCCTGATAGTAAGGCAGGGACCCAGCCCTGCCTAGTCCCCACCTGACGGTTCAGTGAGGACCCTGCCACGCCAGCCACCACAGGGTGGCAGCTACCGCCCAGCCACAGCAGCCCGGCCTCTGAACATCCGTCTCCACCGTGGAGCAGAGGCCGCGGCCTGCGTCGCAGACCAGGACTCTGGGGGGCCATGGGGAAGGGGTCCTACCTGCCCCCCCCACCCCCGGTGATCTGGGAGCCACTCATGGGGCCTCCCCTGGTAGACCCCAGGGTTGGACGATGGCTTGCAGGAGGAGAGTCTCTGCTGGCCTGGCGCCTGGTAGGAGCAAGACTGCCCACTGCGGGCTGTGTGCACGTGGTGGGGCGGCAGGAGCCCGCTCGCCTGTCCTGACCCCGTGCTCTGCCTCCTGTGTTCCAGGGACTCTGAACATGTCGGGGATCGCCCTCAGCAGACTCGCCCAGGAGAGGAAAGCATGGAGGAAAGACCACCCGTTTGTAAGGAGGGCTTCGTTTCCGTGTGCAGTGCTGCAGGCGGCCCCCCTGGGCTGAAACGGTGCCCTCCCCACTGGGAGGAGCTGGCCGCGTGCCTGGGTCGCGCTGGTGGGGCTCGCGGGCTGTTTCTCGGTGGTTTTGGTCAAACGAGATGCCACTGCACTGATGTGCTTTTGTGGTTGTTTTCTCTCAGGGTTTCGTGGCTGTCCCAACAAAAAATCCCGATGGCACGATGAACCTCATGAACTGGGAGTGCGCCATTCCAGGAAAGAAAGGGGTAAGAGGCGCGCGCTGCTAGCCTCCTGCCTGTCGGGGCTCAACAGATTCGTGTGGCAGCGCCACGGGGAAACTGCTCAGATCCTTGCCGTCTGTGACGGCCGCCCTTGTCACGGGCTGCGGACAACAGGTCATCCCCAGCTGTGGCCTGGCCCCCGCCCCGTGCAGACTTGAGCTCAGAAGGTGGTGCTGGCAAGGTTGGGGTGACAGCTGTGTCCCCGCCGAGGGCATTTCTGGTTGAGAAGGAAGCAGGCTGGGCACAGGGCTGAGCTGTGGCGGAGGGGAGGGGCTCTGGCGTGTGTTGGGAGCAGGCCTGAGGGCGGGCAGCCTTTGCAGCCTGGAACCCGGGATTCTGCTGTGTCCTTCCAGGTGTGGCTCAGGTCACGGGAGCTGGGTTTGCCGGAGAGCCACCCCGGTGTAAAGCCGCCTCCTGGAGAACCTCCTGGGGCACAGGGACTGGCGACAGCAGCCTAGGATGCCTGCTTGGGACCCCCTGTGTGTCTGTGGGGAGCAGGGCGGCCCGTGTGCCTGTCGTCTTTGCCCGGCTCCCGTGAAGCACTTGGCCGGGGACTCCAGGCTGGCGTGCACATAAGGTTCATGCTGGTGAACCCTGAAGGAAGGAGAGAGCCCTGAGGTGTTGGTCCTGCCCGAGGCCTTGTTCCCTCCGGCCCATGCCACCCTCTGGGTTTCACTCTGAAACTCAAAGCAGCTTCGGTCCCCCTGAGCTGAGCAGTCCCAGCAGGTCTCAGCTTTGCCTGAGACATGGTGTCACTTGGGTTTGTCGCTTGTCTGAGGCTCTGCTGAGAATGTCCCTTGCTCTTCATGTAATGGCGACGCAGGTGTGCGGCCCCAAGGAAGACGGGAGTGGTGTCGGATTGTGGGGTGGCAAAGGCGCCTCATCCAGGCAGAATCTGGGGCGGGGCTTGCAGAACCCCTGGGGTGAAGGCTGCGCTCTTGGTGCTGCCGCCCCAGTGTGCGGCACCCGCCACCCCGGCCCAGCCCCCGAACCCCGTCTCGTCTCCTTTCTAGGAGGACCTTTCCGACTTACTCTCTGGGCACAGCAGAGGTCCTGACAGTCCCCTTGGTGGGGCCGGTCCAGGCTTTAGGCTGGTTTGGGGACCGCCTCTGTTGGGCCTCTGGCCCCGGTGTCTTGGCAGTCCTGGGAGTTGTGTCCTAGAAGCGAGCCCCTTCCTCCTGGGCTGGCCTGAGGCAGGCAAGCAGCCCATCTCACCACAGTTTATTTCCCCACAGACTCCGTGGGAAGGAGGCTTGTTTAAACTACGGATGCTTTTCAAAGATGATTATCCGTCTTCACCACCAAAATGTGAGTAGCTCACTGTTGAGAGTGTCCTGGAAGTCAGCCTGTTCCTGTGGGGATCGGAGTCCTCTCCAAAGAGGCCCCAGGCTGTGGCCGTGGCGCCCGGGCCAGGCAATCCACGTGGAGTTGGGAGGAAGATCACAGACCTGGAGGTCGGCTTTGATCCCTGATCCCCGGCTCAGGCTGCAGATTCGAGTCTGTTTCCAGCTCCGGGGGTGGGCAGTGCACGTAATAGACTTAGTCTCTCGTCCCAGCTAATTGGCTGTGAAGCTTCAGAGTCCTGTGGAGGGAGGGGCTGTGAGATCCAGGCTGGAGCTCCTGGGCTAGGAGTACCTGGACTCTCAGTGGTTGTTGGTGATGAAGACAGGATTTGGTGCCCACAAGACCCCGGCCCTGGCCGGGATGGATGTGCAGAAGGTCCATCACTCAGAGTCTCACCCTCTGAGGATTTATCTTGCTCCACCTTCTTAGTGCTCTTCCTGTGGTCTCTCACGTTCTCTCCCAACCGTGGCTGTGTCTGCAGCCTGGGCAGGCATCGAGTAGGTGAACAGCAGAGAAGGCATGGGAAGAAAGGGCTGAGGCTGGGTTCAAAATCGAGCCTACAGCTAAGTTAATGATCTCAGTCAGTTCGGCAAAACTCAGGAGAGGAGGGAGAGGGCCGCCGCGTCCCTGCCCTCCCGTAGCTGGAAATCGGCGGGCCCTGTCTGTGGTGAGTTCCACGCGTTAACACGCACCCAGCATCTAGAGAGTGCCTGGCCACGGCGCGGCGAGAGCTGTGTGTAAAAGCTTCCCCTGCGACTCGCTCAAGACACACAAGTGTTTTCCACAGTGGCACCGACCGGAGGAGCTCAAGGGCTGCTGACAGCACCACCCGGCTGAGACTTGCTTCGTTTTGGATTGTCCTTTGCTGTTTGATTTTTTTTTTTTTTTTTAAACCATGAGTGGATATTAAGATGATTTATTTTAATTAAGAAAAATACAAGAATGGGACAGAATAGTTGCTTTCACTTATTCTGTTCAACCATTTATTGGAATTCCAAGCAAATGCAGCAAGATGAGAAAAAGAAGTCACAATGGAAGAGGTGGTGAGGAAGGGCAGGACAATAGCTCACTAAAGCTGAGGTGCAAGCAAGGCTGGGCGCAGTGGCTCACGCCTGGAATCCCAGCACTTTGGGAGGCCGAGGTGGGAGGATCACCTGAGATGAAGACCAGCCTGGTCAACGTGGAGAAACCCCGTCTCTACTAAAAAAAAATACAAAAATTAGCAGGTGTGGTGGTGGGCGCATGTAATCCCAGCTACTTGGGAGGCTGAGGCAGGAGAAGTGCTTGAACCCAGGAGGCTAAGTTGCAGTAAGCCGAGTTCACACCACTGCACTCCAGCCTGGGCAGCAGCGCGAGACCCTGTCTCAAAAAAAGAAAAATAGCTTAGGACATGGTGAAGGAAACAAAACTAAATAAATATGAAAATAAAATAGAGATTGAGATATACACAAACTTGCTCTTACATCATTTCAATGACCAAGGATTTAAAACTATGCCATTTATAGCAGCTTGAAATACGTTGGAATACAACAAAAGATTGGTTCAGGACTTCTCTACTGAAAACTGTAGAATATTCCAAGGGAAGCCGAGGCTGGCCTGAGCAGTAACTGAGCTCTGCTTTGCGTGTGGAGGGGAAGACACGATGCTGCACAGGCGGCCCTTCTCTCCAGGCCCATCTGTGGATTCCGTGTGATCCCGGCCGAGTCAAGCACATCTTGGTGGAAACTGCCCCGCGGACTCTGGAAATGCAGAAATGCAGAGGCCTTGGCTTCTCAGTAGGGGTGGCAAGACCCCGGCTGAGGCTGTGGTGCATGGCACACCCCCCCACCCCGCCATCTCCGCCAGATCTGCCACGGGACGCGGTGATGAAACTGCGGGATTGCTGAGAAGACAGGCAGGCAGGCCTGCGGACGGAGCGAGGAGTTGAGGCAACGCTGGTGGTGGCTTGGGCTGTGACAGGACCAGTCCTAAGGGATGTCCCAGCAGGAGAGACGAGCCCTGCCTCCCACCGTAGAGAAACAGCTTCCGGAAGGACTGTGGTACCCAAGCAGAACAGCGTGGAGAGGAAGACCCAGGAGGGCATCGCGCGAGCCCTGGGCAGGCAGGGATCTCTTCACCAGGGATGCACTAAAGTGCTGGCCAGGGGGAGACCGACGAGTTGACTAAATGGAAATGAAGAATCTCTCTCTATACTAAAGAGTGCAGTTGGCGCCAGGCAGGTGGGCACACCGTAGCGTATGTACGTATCTCAGCCCTCGCCCTGCATCTACCAAGAGCTCCTGGGAATCTGTAAGAAGGCAGACAGCCGTGAGGCCTCTACCCAGCCAGCAAATGCGGCAGGGATGCCTGGCTTTGCCAAAGAGTGGAAGCCTCCGCAGTGGGATCTGTCGTAGCGCTCAGGGGAGCAGACGGCCGCGGCACAGGGCAGCGGGAGCCCGAACCACCGCTGGAGAGGGCAGATGTTCTGAACGTTTCCCCTGGACGCTGCCTGCCGCGCTGGTGGAAGCCGAGCTCATGCTGTAGGGCCTGGCTGTTCACTCGAGTCAACCAAGATTCACAGAAACACACGCGTGTGTCCACCAGAGGCACAGATGGGTGCCGGTGTCACCCCCACTTGCCGCAGCCCAGACATCCTAGGATGACAGATGGGGAAGAGTGAAGAGGCCTCATGACACCTGGCAGGCAGTCCAGACAGGAGGGCACCCCCTTTCTCTTCCTTCTGTGAAGCGTAGCAACCTCCAAGCTGGAGGCCATGAGGAAGGAGAAGGCAGCCTCCGCCTTGGGAGGGCCTGGCGGTGCTGGCGTCCGGCATCTCTGCCTTTCTGTGGGTAAGTTGTGATTGGTAGAAGAAACGAGATTGAGAAATCAGATTAAATTGAAATTAGGCACTTGTGTTTGCCAAAAGATTCTCTTAGAAGAGTAAAAAGTAGGGCTGGGCACAATGGCTTACACCTGTAATCCCAGCACTTTGGGAGTCCGAGGCCAGTGAATCGCTTAAGGTCAGGAGTTTGAGACCAGCCTGACCAACATGGAGAAACCCCGTCTCTAATAAAATAGAAAAATTAGCCAAGTTTGGTGGTGGGTGCCTGTAATCTCAGCTACCCTGGAGGCTAAGGTGAGGCGGGAGAATGACTTGAACCTGGGAGGCGAAGGCTGCAGTGAGCTGAGATCGTATCCCGTCACTCCAGCCCACGCAACAGAGTGAAACTCCATCTCGAAAAATTTTAAAAGCAAAAACTAAAGCCCCAAGCAGGAGAAGAGGCCTGTACGTGTCACTTGAAGAACTCCGAAGCAGTCGCCAGGAAGCAGTCCGGGCTGAAAGGGGCGCTCCGTGGTCACCAGCAGATGCAGTGTAGCACCACAGAGTGGCCACTGTGCACCTCACCCAGTGGCTGGAATCCAGCAGCGACAGCCCGCGTGAGCAGCCTGGAAGCAGCACGGCTTGAGGGCCGATGCCGTGACCCCACATTGCACAGCAATGCACTCACGCCAGTGTTCACACTCAGGATGGCCACGCAGCTGCTGGTGGGCTTCTGCAGCGTGGGATGGTCCGCCGTGTGGGATGGTCACAGCGTGGGGCGGTCTGCGGTGGTGTCCTCACTGCATTCTCCAGGACGCGTGCCCTGTGCGTGTCTGTGGTGCCTGAAGTCCAGGAAGCTGCCCGTGGGCGTTGGAGTTGGGATTACGGGGCAGACGCAGTGGTCGGTAGGAGCGAGTGTTCGGGAAGCTGTAGGTGTTGGTGGCGCGTCGGCTTTGAGAGAATTCCTCAGGCTGCGCTGGACTTGCCGCACCGTGTGTCCTCCATAGCACTGAGGGAGAATGCCCGGGAAATAGCCTAGAATATCAACGGCGATGGCCCCGATGGGGCTAATGGTGGGGAACTTCTTTGCTTTGTTGTAAAGAAATAACACAGGGTCCTAAAAGCCCCTGTGTCCTGGAAGCAGAGGGTCTGCGTCGGAACTGCCGACTCTGGAAGGGCCTTGGCTGTGTCCCTGGACATCTCCCGCAGCTCCTCCTCTCTCCCCTGAGTCTGGCCCGGCTGAGAAGGACGTGGGGGCCACAGGTTAAGTGGCCACCCGGGGACCTGTGTTCCCCGACTGCCTGGCTGTGCCGGGAGTTCTGTCCTGGGAGAGACACAGCTTCGTCTCTGGCCTGCGGCCGTGTCCCCAAGGCTCTGTCCCCTGCGTGCAAGGGTGGATATGTCTTCCTCTTGCCTCCTCATGGCCACGATTTTATTTTTTTGGAAAGTTCTTGGCCAGATAACCTGGCTACCAACCCAGTGGCCCAGTGTTGGGAGGGGGTGGTGGGGGGAGGACATGACTGGGGGACAGTGCCTGCCTGCAAAAAGCGCTTCCTTTCCTCCTCGTCCTCCAGGTAAATTCGAACCACCGTTATTTCACCCGAATGTGTACCCCTCGGGGACAGTGTGCCTGTCCATCTTAGAGGAGGACAAGGACTGGAGGCCAGCCATCACAATCAAACAGGTACGGGGCCTCCACCACGCATACGGGCAGGGCTGCCTCAGTCTCCCCTCCGGACGCGCGGGTCTGCAGTCATTCTCAGTGGCTGAGGCCGAGTCTCACCGTGTCTCCCTTTCAGACTGCTCACACCCCTGTCTTGTGTTTTTGTTTCTGGCACAGATCCTATTAGGAATACAGGAACTTCTAAATGAACCAAATATCCAAGATCCAGCGCAAGCAGAGGCCTACACGATTTACTGGTTAGTGGCAGCCCTCGCCCCGCTGCTGGCAGCTTCTCTCCATCCCAGCCAAGGCCGCCTGCCAGGAGGGGAGTGGAGCACACAGGCTCACCCTAGAGACAGCCAGGGTCCGCATCTCCAGGGGAAGGTCGGGGAGCATAAACCCTGTGGGCAGCAGGCACCGACGCACACGGTCTGCCGTGGGCGTGGACGGTGCCGGAGCCCTGTCTGTAGGGGGGGAGCAGGCCAGGTGACGGGGACTGTCTTGGGCCCCTACTAGGAGGGGAAGGACCTGGCCGTGGGTGCCGGAGGAGGCCATGCTGAGGGGCCTGTCCACCAGCTTAGCCTCCTGTGGACCCCAGCCTCCTGCACTGCCCCTGCTGCTGATCCCCACCCCCCTATACTTGGCTCCTCCTGTTGGGGGGCCCAGCCCAGCAGGGCTCAGTGATGTGATGCTGTCACATAGGCCCTGGGCTCCCACCCTGTCCCTGTGAGGTACTGCTGTGTCTATAAGGGTTCCCGTGGTCTTGGGGTCACTGTCTGCACTGAGGAGGGCCTGGTGTGAGTTAGGATGCAGACGACAACCAAACAGTGCTGGGGACAGCAGGGAGGACCCTGCCCTGAGCAGATACCACGCACCTGCCTGTCCTGTCCCCAGCCCTGGGGGCCTCCTCTGCAGCTGCTCTGGGCAGGTCCATAAGAAGGTGGGTCGGGGGCTCCGACCCCCACTGCTGCACCTGCAGCGTTGAGAAACCCAGCCCCATCTCATCGTGGGTCCCCACACCTCTGAGGGGGTCTCGGGGGCCCCAGTGGCCGGGGACCCAGGAGGCTCACCCTGCAGCCACCCCACACGTGCCTGCCACCATGGGCATCGGAGGCCCGCTCCCTCAAGGGGGCATCTCCTGGTCGGGAGTGGGAGGCTGAGGGGTCACCGTTGCCCTAAGCCCAGCCCGCACAGGTTGTGAGGAAAAGCACCTGGTTTTGGCCGGGCACAGTAGCTCATGCCTGTAATCCCAGCGCTTTGGGAGGCCAAGGTGGGCGAATCACAAGGTCAGGAGTTCGAGACCAGCCTGACCAACATAGTGAAAACCCATCCCTACTAAAAAACACAAAAAGTTAATTGGGCGTAGTGCTGGGTGCCTGTAATCCCAGCTACTCGGGAGACTGAGGCAGGAGAATCGCTTGAACCCAGGAGGCGGAGGTTGCAGTGAGCTGAGATGGAGCCACTGCACTCCAGCCTGGCAGCAGGGCAGGATGCCATCTCAAAAAACAGAAAGCACCTGGTTTTGGAGAGAGATGTTTCTCCCTGGATGCAGGCCCAGCCCAGGTGTCTGCAAGGTGCCCTCCCTGCTGGCTGAGGGTGGCACAGAGGCCCCAGGCAGGGAGCAAGTGTCACAGCAGCCACCCCAGCCTCAGCCTGGCTCCCCTGCACACCTCACAGACGCTCAGTCGGCCGAGCCATTGCTGGAACTGGCTCGTGGGATGTGGCGTGACCTGGGTTTGTGTGTTGGCCTGCTGTGCCCTAGGAGTTCCATGAAACGCCTTCCACTGGGCAGGAAGCCACAGCCCTCACCAGTGTCCACGTGGCGCTTGAAGTAGAAAATGTTTTCTTTTTTTTTTTGAAACAGAGTCTCACTCTGTCACCCAGGCTGGAGTGCAGTGGTGTGATCTCGGCTCACTGCAACCTCTGCCTCCTGGGTTCAAGTGATTCTCCTGCCTCAGCCTCCCAAGTAGCTGGGATTACAGGTGCGCACCACCACACTTGGCTAATTTTTGTATTTTTAGTAAAGACAGGGTTTCACCGTGTTGTCCAGGCTGATCTTGAACTCCTGACCTCAGGTGATCCACCCTCCTCGCCTCCCAAAGTGCCGGGATTACAGGCGTGAGCCACCGTGCCTGGAAAATGTTTTCCAGGCCAAGTGTGGTGGCTCACGCCTGTAATCCCGGCACTTTGGGAAGCCAAGGTGGGCTGATCGGTTGAACCCAGGAGTTCACGACCAGATTGGGCAACATAGCAAGACCCCATCTCTACAAAAAATTTAAAATTTGCCAGGTGTGGTGGCTCACGCCTGTAATCCCAGTGCTTTGCAAGGCCACTGCAGGAGGGTTGCCTGAGCCTGGGAGTTGGAGATGAGCCTGGGCAGCAAGGCAAGACCGCCTCTCAAAAAAAAAAAAAAAATGTTAAGCCAGGCATGGTGGTGCACGCCTGTAGTCCCAGCTGTTTGGGAGGCTGAGGTGAGAGGATCGCAAAGCCCAGGAGGTTGATGCTGCAGTGAGCTGAGATTGCAGCACTGCACTCCAGCCTGGGTGACAAAGCAAGACCCCGTCTCAAAAAAAAGAAAGCAGGCCGGGCACGGTGGCTCACGCCTGTAATCCCAGCACTTTGGGAGACTTAGTTGGGCAGATCATGAGGTCAGGAGATCGAGATCATCCTGGCTAACATGGTGAAACCCCGTCTCTAGTGAAAATACAAAAAATTAGCTGGGTATGGTGGTCCCAGTAGCTGTAGTCCCAGCTACTCGGGAGGCTGAGGCAGGAGAATGACATGAACCCAGGAGGCTGAACTTGCAGTGAGCCGAGATCATGCCGCTGCACTCCAGCCTGGGCGACAGAGCGAGACTCCGTCTCAGAAAAAAAGCAAATGTTTTCCTGCCTAGCCCTTAGTTGGTCTGCCATCCGGAGCATGGTGTGGGCGTGAGCTCTGTCTGGCCTGCACCCCATTTGCCGGCCATCTCTGGAGCTGGGCTGTGGCTCCCACTTGCCGCATGGGCCAGGCACGGTCGCAGTCCCCCGCCCTGTGTGACTCTCCCCTGTGTCTCCTGGGCTTGGTGCCTGCTGGGCTACACTGTACACTTGTGTTCACGTAAACAAACGTTCTTTCTCCTGCAAACATCCACTTGAAAAGCACCCTTTATGAAGCATGTTTGCAGGTTTCAATCCTTTTTCCTGGGTTTCTTGGAGGCCTTGGGCCGTGTTCTTGCCCTGGCAGGTGCCTTTTCTCGGGGCCCCTGCTTGGTAAAGGCAGAGCCGGGACATGTGGCCACTGCCTCTGGTTCCTTCCACGCCCACCCAGCTGAGCTGCTCTGCCCTGGGGCCGGCTGGTGGTCCAAGGAGGGCGCTGGGGTCTGGGGTGCAGTCCAGGCCCTTGGCCTGGGTGGGAGTGGCACCTGCACTGCTGCCGTCCTGGGCTGTTGGCCTTCACTCTGCGCCATGCCTGGCTTGGCTCAGTGTCTCAAATCAGGTCCAATCCTGGCGAGACTGCCAGGACTGCTACCTCAGGAACCACCTCCATGAATGTCACAGTGTTCCCCCATCCTCAAGGTCACACTGCCCCGTGTCCCATCAGCTTCTAGGTGCAGCCTGGGCAGCTGTTTGCAGGCTGAACCTCACTCTGCCCAGCTCCGGACCTGTTCCCTGATAACGCCTGCACTGCCCAGCTGGGGCACCACCCCCTTCCGAACCAGGCGTGCCTTCCCACATCTTTGCTCCTGGGGCTGAGAGCCTCATGGAAAAACCCTCCAGAAGTTTCTGTCTGTTTTGGGGAGTTGGCGAAGAACAGTGGCAAGCAATCAGTGTTTTCAGTTTATTAGCGCTGGCCCTAGACTTACAGAAAAGAGAAGCTGCTGATTGCTAGTTAGGACCAGACTTTCGGCACTGGTGACGATGTTGCAGGCCCCCTGGCGTGGGTCCCCTGGGGCCTGAGCCCTCCTCGCAGCCCTGCGGGGCCCCTCTGTCCTCTGACACCACATCCACCCAGCATGGGTTCCTCTCCTCCCTGCCCTTCTGCCTCCCTCAGACCACAGGACAGTCTCAGCCAGGTCAGAGCCAGCCTGGGCTCCCCACCACGCAGGCCTCCCTGCTTCTCCGGGCTTCTTGCTTCTGTTACTGTCACGGGCTCCACACTGCCCTCACCCAGGAGGTCCCCTCCTGCAGCCTGGTCTGCCGAGCTCGCTCCGCTCCGGGGCCGGCGTGTGGGCCAGGCTGCTCAGCCCCCTAACACTGTGTTGTCTTTTGACCTCCTCAGCCAAAACAGAGTGGAGTACGAGAAAAGGGTCCGAGCACAAGCCAAGAAGTTTGCGCCCTCATAAGCAGCGACCTTGTGGCATCGTCAAAAGGAAGGGATTGGTTTGGCAAGAACTTGTTTACAACATTTTTGCGAATCTAAAGTTGCTCCGTACAATGGCGAGTCACCTGGGGGGGTTGGGCGGGCGCCATCTTCCATTGCCGCCGTGGGTGCGCGGTCTCAATTCGCTGAATTGCCCGTTTCCATACAGGGTCTCTTCCTTCGGTCTTTTGTATTTTTGATTGTTATGTAAAACTCGCTTTTATTTTAATATTGATGTCAGTATTTCAACTGCTGTAAAATTATAAACTTTTATACTTGGGTGAGTCCCGCAGCAGCGAGTCCCCGCTCCGGGATGCAGGCATGCTTCTCACCGTGCAGAGCTGCACGTGGCCCCGGCTGGCTGTATGGAAGCGCACCCTCCCTCCTGCCGCTCCTCTCTAGAACCTGGGCTGTGCTGCTTTTGAGCCTCAGACCCCAGGTCAGCATCTCGGTTCTGCGCCACTTCCTTTGTGTTTATATGGCGTTTTGTCTGTGTTGCTGTTTAGAGTAAATAAACTGTTTATATAAAGGTTTTGGTTGCATCATTATTGAAAGTGTGAGGAGGCGGCCTCCGAGTGTCCCGCCCTCCCCACCTGACTGCAGCCCCACCGTGGGCCAGGACCAGGCTCTCCCATCTGCTTTGGATGTGCCCAGGCTGTGTGGCTCCGTCTTGCCCTGGATCTTTGTCAACAGGGCTGTGTACAAAGTGCTGCTGAGGCTTCTGTGCTCCCAGGATCTTCGGGCTGTAGAGCGCTGGGCAGCTAAGATCTGCATAGGTCGGGATTGGCGTTGAGACCCTGGCAAGTGTGCACCGGTGCCAGCTGTCTAGAGGGCCACAGGGCCAGGTCCAGGCCAGGGCTGGAGGCTGTGTGAGGACTCCTATCCAGGCAGCCTGCTGGCGGGGGTGCCCCTCAGTGGCTGGGTCACAGGGATGGAGCCGTGCTGTGCACAGGGTGCCACCTCGGGTGTCTGTGTCTCACGTCCTCAGGAGGCAGCCCTGCTACCACCCCTGGCAAACACGGGGTGCTTTCTCCAGGAGAGCCCACAGCCATGGCCCCTCCAGGGAGCGCCAGGTGGAGGGCCCTGGGCGGCCTGTGTCTGGAATTCTTCGTCCTGAGGTTACCTGAGCGTGGCCTCTCCTGGGGAGGCTGTGCCACTCAGAAGCCGCCCTGATGCTGAGCCCTCTGCAAAGGCTGGGCCGGCCAGGCCTCTTGGGGGCTGCCTGAGCCGTGGCTGAACCACTGTAAGAAGTGGCCTGGCTGGGAAGTTGGGTGCCAGTCACCTCCCAGCAGGAAGGTGCAGTGGACAGAGATGGGAAGCCCTGGGGGACACAGCCCGACGCTCCCAGCCCTCCAGCCTCCGACCCACCACCCAGTCTCCGCATCCTAGTGAGCTTGGCCCTCCTCAGTCTCGTTTCAAGCCCTGGGGCTGGAGCTGGCCCTGCTGCCCTGGTGCGCCCCGGCAGCTGGAGCTGGGTCCCGGTGGCCCAAGTGCAGGGTTCCAAGGGGGCGGGGCGGGTGCTCCCCAAAGGAGCCAAGAATGCAGGGAGGGCGGCCCAGGGCCCTGGGAAGGGGAGCGTGGCTGCTGTGGGCTGGGAATCGAAGTTAGAGGTGACTTCCGAAGGCCCCCCTGAGCCGGCAGTGCCCCCCGCCCCCACCGGCAGCTCTGCGGTGCCAGTGCCTTGTTCGCTCTCCGGGTTCCGTGCCCTGCAGTCACTGCGCTCTCGGTCTGACGTGTGTGGTTTGTTGATAATGCAGGGGGCCTTACCTGGGGAATTCAGCTGGTTTGAATATTTGTAGCCCGTTCCCAGAATGTCTTATTTTGTAACGACGGAACTACATTTAGTAATAGTTACACATGTATATGGTTAATACATATGGAAATTCAGTATATTTTGTAGTTAACGTATTCTAAAGTAACGGATGTTTCTAGCCAATCGTAGTGACTTCAGCTAATGAAATGTTCTTTTTGTGGTACCACAGTCCTCAGCCTAACGAAGGACGTGAACCTTGTAACGGGAGAGCTCTGAAACGCGGTCACCTTTGTTTAGCGGAAGGGAGAGTGTGTTCCCGGCATGAGGTGCCTCGGAATTAAGAAAGAATTGTGGGCGATGGGTTTACCACTGTATCTAAGAATCCACCAATTAAAGCATTTGCACAGACTGCGGCCTGCCGGGTGTGTCTTTTTCTGCCCTGTCCCCAGCTCCCCTGGCTGTGGGGGTGGGAGCCCACTGGGGCCACAGGGCCACTCCCCCCCATCCGGAGGTCCAGCCCTATACCCCAGGGTTTCCTTCCGGTCCTGCCTCCGGCCCTTACCCTCCGGGTGATATCCCCTCTAGCCAAGGTGACCCCCAGGCTCAGGGTCTCTTCGCCTGCACCTCCCTGGCCTGCTCTAGGGGACTCCTCCCTGGGACTTGAGGCTGCTCTTGCTGCCCCTGGCAGGGGACTTCCTTGGGGAGCAGGGACCCCAGGTGCCCAGAGCTCTCCTCACAGGGCCGATCCAGGGCTGGCTAGAGCCACCAGGTAGGAGTCCGGTGCACAGGTGCAGGAACCCCAGCCCCTGTGGGATGGGCTAGCCAGGCCTGAGCTGGCACTTGGGGAGCCCTCCCTTGACTTTGGCGGTCGGGCTGGCCGCACGTGCCCTCCGCCTCTCAGGTCCCTTGGGACTTGGGTCTGGCTGGGCTGGAGGAGGCTAGGAAACTTGGCCATCATGCTGGCCACTGCCTCCGGGGACACAGGCTGCTGGCCAGGCTGCTGGTCCCCAGGTCCCGTCCGTCACCTTCCTGGACCTGAGGCCCGGCCCCGCCATCACTCCCCGGGTGCCACTGATGGGAAGCCTCCCTTGTGGTTACCATGACAACAAGTTGCCAGGTTGGAGGGCCTTGCACTGACTCAGACTGGCTGGAACTGGTTTGAGCCAGCTCCAGCAGGGAGGGGCCTGGGAGTGCTGGGTTTGGGATCCATCCCCAGCTGACCCTGATTCTGGGTGTGGGGGCGCCCTGAAGCACCTGCTCAGGAGAGGCAGCCTGAGAGCCCCCAGGCACCCCCTGGTCTGAGGAAGCCATTGGGCCCAGTTGGGGTGGGGGCTCCTGGCTTCAACCCATTGGGTGGGAAGGGGCTGGGACAAATGGTCCCATCCACCCTGCCTGTCTCCGGCCCAGCCTGGCCCAAAGGCTCCTGCACCTGCCAGGAGATTATCCAGCTCTTAGGACAAAATAGGAATGGGCTCAAGAAAACCACCGGGCACATGTGGCCTGGGCTCTTCCTTCCCTGGGCCTCTGCCCTTCCTCCAGGACGCCCTTCACCGAATAAGGCAAGTTCCCACTCCTAGATGCGGACTGTGCCTTATTTATTTATTTACTGATTTAGAGATGGAGTCTCACTCTGTCACCCAGGCTGGAGTGCAGTGGCGCAATCTCGGTTCACTGCAACCTCCACCTCCCAGGTTCAAGCAATTCTGCCTCAGCCTCCCAAGCCTGGGCTGTGCCTTTAAGGAGGGACTCTGAGGCTGGGCACGGTGGCTCACGCCTGTAATCTCAGCACTTTGGAAGGCCAAGGTGGGAGATCACCTGAGGTCAGGAGTTCAAGACCAGCCTGGCCAACACGGCAAATGCCCATCTCCATTAAAAATACAAAAATTAGGCCGGGCACGGTGGCTCATGCCTGTAATCCTAGCACTTTGGGAGGCCTAGGCGGATGGATCACAAGGTCAGGAGTTCAAGACCAGCCTGACCAATATAGTGAAACCCTGTCTCTAGTAAAAATACAAAAATTAGGTCTTTGAGGAAGACGCAGTGGTAGGTGCTGTGGATCGCTGATCCGCACGCTCCTGCTCCTGACTCACCGCTGTTCGCTCTCACAGAGGAACAAGTTGGTCAGGAAGCCGCGTAGCAGCTATGGCTTTTAAGATTACTGCAAGAACTCCCATGGAGCCGGAGATGGCAATGCACTAAATTTCAACAAATTCAAATCGCTCTAGCGAGCCGCAGGGTAAATCCCTGGAAAAGGTGTGTGCTGACTTGATCAGAGGCGCAAAGGAAAAGAATCTCAGTGGGAAAGGACCAGTTTGAATCCGACGATCAAGACTTTGAGAATCACTACAAGAAAAACTCCAGATGAAAACCTACAAGTGACTCATTGACTTGCACAGTTCTTCTGAGATTGTTCCACAGATGACTTCCATCAGTAATGAAGTGGAGTTGAAGTGGAAGTCACCATTGCAGATGCTTAAGTCAACTATTTTAATAAATTGATTACCAGTTAAAAAAAAATACAAAAATTAGCCAGGCATGGTGGCGGGCGTCTGTAATCCCAGCTACTTGGGAGACTGAGGCAGGAGAATCGCTTGAACCCAGGAGGCAGAGGTTACAGCTGAAATCACACCACTGCACTCCAGCCTGGGCAACAGGGCAAGACTCTGTCTCAAAAAAAAAAAAAAAAAAAAAGAGAAAGAAAGAAAAGGAAGGGACTCAAGCCCCAGGCTGGGAGGAGTCGCCTCCCACCCCAGCTCTTATGTGACAGTGCTTTTTGAGGCTCTCTTGCAGTTTCCTACCTAGTGTGTCAGCCCTCTTCAGCGAAAGCTCTGCTTCTTACTCAGGCGTCGAAGCCTAGCAGCCCAGGCGTGGAAGCATCTCCCTGCAATGCATTCCACTGCGGTTATCTACGCTGCAGCCTGGCACCTGTGGCTTACTATTGTTTCATTCCCAGGCGATGTTGCCGCAGCAAAAGGCAGGCGAAGCAGCCGTGGCGATAGTCAGGAATCAACGACGCCTCAGACGCTGAGGAAACTGAAGTCACTGCAACTTACGCCCTCCACACGTGTTAGCTTGCATCTTAGCTTTCCTGTCTCCTTCCGCCTGGGTTCTCTCACAGATGCTGCCCATGGAGGCCTGAGAAAAAAAAAAAAGAAAGAAAGAAAGAAAGAAAAGGAGGGACTCTGAAGCCCCCAGAGCTGGGAGGAGTCGCCTCCCACCCCCAGCTCTGTGTAGAACGATGCACACTGAGGGCCTGGCCTCTCCCTGCTGGTTCCCTCACCACAGTGAGCACGGATGCCCACCTCGCTGGGAAAGGGCCTCTGACACCCCCACCCTCAGGCTGGTGGGAAGCCTGGCCAAGGTATAGGGCGCCATCCTCCCTGCCATGCAAGGCTCACTGCAGCAGGGGCTGTCCTGCCTGCTGGGCTCTGGCACACGAGTGGCCTTTGTTTGGGAGCTTGCAGGCACGGCCTCCCAGAAGCTGCCCCTAACTTCCCCCTGAGGAACCAAGCAACGAAAGGCAGGGCCCTTGGAGAGCTCGTGGGGTCAGAGTCCGGGGACTCTGGCCAGGGACCCTGCCTGTCCCGGAGCTGGAGGACCCTGAAGACACTGCCAGAACATGTTCCTTGCCCACACTGGCCAGGCATGGTGTCTTGGGCCCACTTCTTTGTCACCACCCCGCCCTGGATGCCTCACAGATGCTGTAGCAACATGGAGGCCTGAGAAAACTCCAACGTGGCACCGGGCGGTCACCTCCAGCTGGCTCCACCTGTGCACACCTGGCAGCAGGACTCCCGGAGCTGCTGGTGTGGGCTCTGGAGACCAGCATCTTAGGCATAAGGCCAGACCTGGGCCAAGGCCCTCCCACCCAGAGCCCCTCTCTTGATGGGGCACTTCTACCCCAGGGCAAGTGTGGGCAAGGAACACGTTCTGGCAGTGTCTTCAGGGTCCTCCAGGACAGGCAGGTTCCCTGACCAGAGTCCCTGGGTTCTGACCCCACGAGCTCTCCAAGGGCCCTGCCTTTCCTTGCTTGGTTCCTCAGAGGGAAGTTGGGAGTGGCTTCTGGGAGGCTGTGCCTGCAATTTCTAGGGCTGCCACCAGAGGGTGGTAGCACAGGGCCCTGCGCGGTGCTCCTGAGTGTGGAACAGGAGCGGGTGTCTGACTCTGCCAAGGCCTCACCTGTGTGCTTCAGCGGCTTTGGTGCCTGCGTATCCAGAGCCTGGTGTTTTCCCCCACCCTAAGGAGGAAAAGCTACTCTTCCTGGCTGCCAACCCCCTTTCCAGCACAAAGTCCTGAGAATGCGAAAAGAGCCAGGCTTGAAAAATGGCTCTTCTCAGCTTTACACAAGCAGCCCTGGTGCCCCAGCAGCCTCCTCAAGCTCTGATCCCATCTGGGCAGGGGGTCTTGTGTCCTGACACATCGCCAGGAGGTGTTCCTGCACCTGCGCCATCCCCTCACTGTCCCCAGAGCACGGCAGCTGTCTGCACTCGGGTCCGAGGGCAGACGCCAGGGTAGCCCCTTCGGAGTGAGGTCTGGGGCTCAGCTGTGGGGAGGGTGGGTGGCCCTCTCTCTTAGTGGGAGGGGACTCACACAAGAATGGGCTTCCAGCCCCGAGCTATGGAAAGGTAAATTGGGTCACTAGAGGGCCAGAGTTCTGGCTAGGTGGCCACAGTTCCCACCCCACCAGCTGGGACTGAAGCTGACCTGCTGTGAGTTGAGATTGGCTCACCGAGGTCCCCAGCTGCACCCAAGGTGGGTGCTGCTGTTGTCCCCACTTTACAGAAGAGGGAAACTGAGGCCCAGGCACTGGAGGGTCGCCTTCAGGCAGGGGTGAGCAGGGTGCTGGGACTTTGATCCAGGTCAGCCTGTCTTCAGTCTCAGAACAAGTTGGAGAATGAAAGCGTCAGTCACTGAGTGGGTCTTCACTCGGCTCGTTCATTCTGTGACTCTGCACCGAACGTTTGTGGAGGCGACGGTCCTAGCGACCATCCTATCCTGGGGAAATGGAGGCCCAGGGCTGGTTTGGGACTCAGCTTGTCGCTCCGTAGCCCTGGAAAAGTCCTTTCCCATCTCTGGACTTCAGTCTCCCTACCTAGAAAAGAGTGGGGAGAGGTCTCCAAGCGTGCTTCCGCCCCGACAGACTGCAGCGTTGGTTTGAGGGCTGGTGCCCTCGTGGGGGCTGAGCAGCAGCTGCCCCTCCCAACTTCCTGTTTACTGTGGCTGCAGAGCCTGTCCCTTCACTCAAAGCCAGTGTGATTACCATGGCAACCAGCCCGTGTTTGTTCCAACAGGTGGGCAGAACCTGGTGCAAGACTGCAGAGGCAGGGGCATCGCTCCCAGACCCTGGCTCCAGGCCCGCCAGCCCCTCAGGAGGGAGGCTGCTGCAAAGGGAACTCGGGGCCCAGGCC